GAGGTCCACTTCAGCTCAAGCAGTGTGATCACACGTGAGATCATTACCCCTTGTTTGTGAATTCACCTTCCTCTAAGAGGACTTCGGGTGAGATACTTTGTATAAGATGTTCCTTCCTAAATTCCAGGCTGTTGAGTTATTTCACCGCTAACATGCTGGGACTTGTTAGATCCTTGTGGTTTAGATTCTCCTTAGACTAGGCAAGTGTTTGGACACTGCAGAAATGAAATGAAGTGAACCACACTATATTCTAACAGTCTTATGGGGATAAAGGAGAATAGATCATCTAAGATGAGCAGCAAAGCAAGGGGAGAGGCTTTAGGAGTTCCTCTAGGAGCCCGGCAGAAGAAAAGAGTGTCCTACAGACAGTTACGGAGCAGCTGACAGGCGTACTCCGTGGAAGGAGAGCTGCTCGCCTGGAAAAGACAGGAGAGTCAAAGCAGACACAGTAGCAAGGTGGACAGATAAACACATCCAAACGACCTTTCTGTGGGTTACTGTTTTTAATACAGGTTTACATCCATGCTGTGGTGGGAACTAAGTTCACATTTGTAGGACCGCATCCCTTGGTGACTTTACAAAGGCACAATCAAGTAGGACCCACGTTTACAGTAACAGACTTAACGCACACAGTTTTAAAACAGATGTGGAAGAGGACCAATTTGTAGTTTTACACAGAAATGCCGGTGTGTGGACAAACAACCATTTCCACTCCAAAGCACTTGTACTACTCAACACTGTCTCCAGGGGCAATGGCATATCAGGTGTCCCTCGGATCAATGTCCACTTTACCGCAACAATGGAACACTCCCGTGAGCGGAGCCTGGAGGACCGAGACAAGCCTTCCCTCTATATGACCATCAGAATTCAGCTGTTCAACATTGAGTGGGACCTTTGATGATTGTTACACAAGTTGAATGTAGTCACCCGATCATAGGGCTCTGAGTTAAGGAAATGCGTGATAAGGTAGAACCAGGTGACTTGGTCTACTATGGGAAGTGCTAGTCTCAAAAGATATTCCAACTGAAACAATAGAAAACTAGAGAAAACGTAGACACTCATCTGTAGTCGACGGAACCACATTCATCTCAAACATCTGGCTGAGTGAATACTGGGAATAGAGGGTGATTCAAATGTCATTCTGGAAGAGATCGAGAAGTTAACATGTTGCATATTAACACTACGCTTTAGTATATATTTTCTTTTCGACCCCAAAGCAGCATGTTATTTCCCTATTTGGTTAAAACTTTAGAGGTCATGGAATAACCAAGTTTATTCATAAATAAAAAGTACCACTTTCAATAACCACACAGCTTTGTTCTAGTATTGCTTGAAATTCGTTAGATTTTGGTTTTTTTTTCAAAATGCATTTATCTAGTAAAGAAAAATGGGCAGAAGGAAACTTCACCCAAATTATGTAGCAGTGTTAAGCAAATTCAGTTTCTGGGCCAAAATTTAAATTATTTGTGTCTCCAAACTTTCCTTTGTAACCTTTCTTATCTCAATGCAATTTCACATTTGGCCAAAGAAAGCTATTTTCTCTTGGCAGACAAAACCATGCTTCTGAAGAAACCCTGATTTGGGTCTGTGGAATCTGTCTCCTTATGACAGCACACTAACATAATTAAAAACTGTCAATTAAGAATTAAGTTACAGTGCTTTGTGCACTGTTTTAAAAACCAACTGTACAATTCTATCATCTTAGATATGCGGAAATAAATATATTTTGACTTTAAAAAACAAAAAAAAACACAAAACAAACACGTGGGAGAACTGAGAATGAGTTCAGGGGCTCACAAAACTTTCCCGGGAGGCAGGCTGTAGGGCGCAAGTTTTCCCCAAGACCCTTGGACAGAGAAAGCGGGAAATGTCTGTGGTCGACAGCTGAACTGCTGTTATTACCGGTGTTGGTGGAGAGGAGGTCTCAGAAGATCGGCTGTTCTCAGCACCAACGCTGTCACCTTTTAGAAAGATGAACACCAAGTTTCTTCCATTTTCAAAGGACAGAGAATTATCACACACGACCCTTCTGGACTTCAAATTAATTCTGATCCAATCCAAAGGTAAAGCTGCCCACATGTACAAGCAAGGAGTCCTACTGTGTAAGACACTCAGAGTTCTGGAATGTGCATCTTCTTAGCCCACGCGCTGACAATGCATCTAACTACCCTTGACATCCATCACCTGTGCTCAGGACAAAGGACGCAGTTCTCCCGCTGAGGAAGCACGCTAGGTCTCAGAACACTTCATGAACCCTGAAGTGATTCTCTATGGAGGGAGTTTCCTTTGTGAAATGAATTTGGCTGGTCACCTGCACGCCCAGATCCCCAAGGATCTGAACAAATTTCTTGTGCTCCTTTCCAATCCAGGACCTCATTGGATCCTGTACTTGATACGGTGTCACGTGGGTGTGGACAGTAATCCCTGTTTGAGCAAATTCTTTCAAGACTTCTGGATATGTGACCCAAGTGTTGCTTCCTCCAGAATGACCACCGTCCAGCCAATACATTGTTCTTATACTTTTGATGAAAGTGTCTATGTTCTTGTCTTTCTTGGCTTCCTTCAACTCAAACAGCAACTGATTCAAAACTACACAGCCTTTACTGAACCCAACCAAAGTGAACGAGGCGCCGTTCAGTGACAGCGGAGCAAAGCTCACAGCGGCCACGGCAGCGTTTCCACAGGTCCTCTCATTCTCCTGGCCACCATTACGAGGACTAGCAGGATCAGACTCACAGTTAGCTGCTCGGCAATCCTTATTCCAAACGCTCCTCTTGGACAGCGAGCCGTTCTGAGTTAGGTTGAAAGCGTTAACTAATAACATATACAGGTGCTTAAAGGCTCCGAAGTTCGGGTCGTGCTCCGGTGCGCCAAACATGTTGCTTTTCACGAAGTTGTCATAGCAACTGAATTTGTGCAGATGCATCCGCGAGCACTTGACCACCCAGATGGAGCTGTCGGGGAAACGGCGGGCCAGGATGGCGGCGGTATTTTCTAGACTCCAGTTTTCCCACTGATAATTCTCAGGATGACGAGTCATGACCTCATGGTAATTCTGAAAGGAAAGATGAACACGCATTAAAAGTGTATTTACCCAAAAAGCTTTACATGATTATTGAAGGTTTGCTGACCTATGGTTAATGTACTCAAAACAAAACCTAAAACCTTTTAGCGCTTTCTGGCTCTAAGATTTTGAACCAAACACTTCACTCAGCCTAAATTTCATTAAGAGACAGGGTAAAAAAAATATACTTACACTAAGTATTAAGAATTTCTGAATAAAACAATCTAGAAAGACAAATTTTAGCTCTACAAATCATTTATAGCTTTCAATTAGTGCATATGTAATTAAGTTCCTTAATTCAACTGAAAATAATAGATTTGATTACAGATCTTTTGATCAAGACATAATTTAGAAATATTTTCTTGCCAGTGAGCTGTGGTCCTGCTATCTAGGATGAGTCTGTCCCAGGCATGGAGACTCCCCCAGCATCCTGACCGCTATGAGCTGCGGTCCTGTGTATCTGGGATGAGTCTGTCCCAGGCATGGAGACTCCCCCAGCATCCTGACTGCTAGGCCTGACGCCAGTGTTTCTCCTGCAAAGCTGCAGGACAGCACAGAAAATCTTAACGTGAATCCGTAACTACATCTAAAACTCCCATGGGGGGACACCGGGTCTTAAATAATCACAAGTTAAGCTGGTGATCAACACTACAAAATCGCCTTCCATGGTTTTCTTAGCTTGTTCGGTTTCACAGGCACGAGATAGCTCAAACTTAGATGTATCAAAAATTTAATAATTTTTGATATCTAGATCTTTGCCTTGTCTGTCCATACCATTTGCCTTTTGTACAGATTTTATTTGTTTAGATGCATTCTGAATAAAGTATGTTTTTGTTCTGACCATACAATATTTTCTCATATACATAATTACACATATATGTATGTACCAGAGAACACTGAACTGCTAGCCTTGTCCATTTTAATCATTCCTAATACTGGTGAACTTAGAATTTTTTCTTTATATATTTGTAGGTAGAGTTAATTTTGATAGCAGTCTATTTTTAATAGGAAAAAATGTACATGACACTTAATATTCAAACCGTGAAAGGCTTTAAAGTAAAAAAGCCTTACCTCATGGTCTCTACTAAGCAACCATAAGCTTAGATATAATTTTCTCTTAAAATATTCTAAAAGGCATGACTCTATATCAATACAGACTTGCATAACAGTATTTAAATATCAGTCAAATACCCCTGGAACTAACAGTAAAGCCCTCACTGGCAATGTACAAGAACGCACTGTCTTCCACACCCTTACTTCAATGCTAATGGTTCATTTTTTAAAATCCTGGTTGGATAAGATTATCCAATGCTCTCAGTTTAATTTGCATATTGAACTTCAAATTAGGTTAAACATTTTTCTGCCTGCTGGCCATGTTTATGTCCTTTGATAACTTCCTCACTGTAATGTTCCACTCCTAGTAATTTACTTCATTAATCGTTTGTCACGTGTGTTGAGAGTAGCTATGTATGTCTGAAATCTATTCCAAGCAGCTCTTCAGTCGACTTTTTATGGATTTTGCCATTACCTTCTTCACATCCAGGTTTATTGTACAAAACCCATCATAAAATCAGCAGCTTAGACCTGGAAGGGCTTATCTGTTACTTTCTGTTATTGTTTTTAAACATTAGTTCTGTGTGTACCAGCGTGCGTGGAGGCCACAGGACGTCTGCAGGAAAGTGTCTCTCCTTGCACCCTGTGAGTCTCAGGAACTGAACTCAGGGTGTCCAGCGTGACAACAAGCGCCTTTGCCCACTAAGCCATCTTGTCGGCTGATTTTATTTTGTGTCTCTGAGACAAGGTCTCAGGAAGTCTAGGCTGGTCTTGAACCCATTACGTAGCAGAGAATGACACTCAGCTGTTTTTCTTGCCTCCTACTTAGTTCATTTCATAGGCTAGGTGTGGTAGCATATGCCCGTAATCTTAGCACTCAGGAGGCTGAGCCCAAGAGGAATAGTGAAGCCATTCAGAAATAATACATAATAAATAAATAAATAGATAGATAGATAGATAGATAAGCAAGCTTATCATAATTGAGAACTCTGAAGTCCTGCACCTATACAATTGCTTGCATTACTACTTAATGAGCCAAGTGAGGCAGATTTGGTGACTCAGTTTAGGCTACACCAAATAGCAGGGGCTGTAATCTATACATCAGCCCCCATTAGCTCCAGGTTACACGATCAAAAAGGGAAAAAGTGTTAGTACCGAGGACCTGAGCAGCAAATGAACACTGGGATCATTACGGTTACATCAAACCCAGACCCAAGAACCATGGGCAGGTGCTTCCCCATCCTGAGATGCGGCCCAGACACCCCATAGTCAAACTGGCTCTGCACCCAGGCTGTTAACTACAGTTAACCGACTGAAAGGGGTTTCTTTCCAATCTTCGTCTTACCGCGGATACTCCGCACTAACTATGCTTGCAGGAAGTAAGTAGAGGCTACATCTCTACTCATGCCCACTGAGGCAGACCTAGGAGGGCTCAGCCCAGTTAGATGCTGGCTGACCTGCAGGTACTTCAGAGGTCCTTCCCATGTTACACTGAAGTGGGGTCCAAAGAATCTTTGCCGAAAACTGCATGGTTCTCAGAGTTTAGAAACAGCCATGCCGAGGAGTTAAAGCTGATGAACTACCCTCTGAACCACCTGAGAAGGAAGGGGAGCGCTACGCCAGGAGAAGCCACATATCTCTAAAAATGCACCAGCAGAATAAAGTACACAGTCCAACTAAGCAGGGAGTGGGATCCAGCCGAAGGGAACGGCTTAAGAAAAGTGCTAAAAGACCCCAGAGAATAAGGTCAAGACATACTCTCATGGTCATTTACCCTTCGGGAAAGCCAGATCTGATGACATCGCGATCCCGGTACTCAGGGACACTGGCTCTTTCTACAGAGGAAGATACATATGGGTTTTGAAAGGGGTGGTATAAGTCAATCTTCACCATTTTAGATGCACTAACACCCAGCGTGGAGGCACTGCTGTTAGCGCTGGGTCAGAGATGAGGTAGGAAATTCAGGTAGGAGGACTTCAGATTTCTGAGCTGAGCGACTGAAGTTGGTATTTTCATTAACCTGGAAGAGGAAGGCCGCTGAGGCGTGAACAGACTGTCAGTTCTAGAAGGCTACTAAATATCCAAAGGAGGAAACTGGCTTGCAATTGGTGAATCCATAAACATCCAGCTTATGTCTAGACGAAATAAACGCCAGGGGTTGTCAGGGCACAGCCAATAGGCAGAGCCACAAGAGTGGAAGAGTAAAGTATGGAGACCGCACCTGTAGGGGAGGAGGGGTCATACTGTGCCCTTCCAGTATTTGACCTTGACTGACGCCCTCAGAGGAGAGACTTAAAGTCTGTTCAGGCTTTAAGCTACAAGGCACGGACGGGAATGTTAAATCTAGGCAGTTTGGCCTTGGAACCTCGCGCTGCACTTCCTTCCATTTCTTTCGCTCTATAAAACGCCACACTTTGCACAGTGACCACTCTGCCGTGGCCCAGGATGCTAACGGGATGGATGACGGCGCAACAGAAGCCGCCACTCGGACCATATCTGCAGCTCTTTGGGCCCCATTCGAAGACAGGGGAACGTTCTGTCTGTGGCACACTCAAGCCAGAAAGTACGCAGCCGCCATGACCACCACCACAACCTGGACGCATTTAGTAGCTGGTCGCAAATCTCTGCAAGTTAATGTCAGAGGCAACATATCTGTTTTGCATTCTAAGTACACTGAGGTTTGTTTTTTTTTTTTTTTCAGGTCCTATAAGCAGTCAAGTCAATGGATAGGTTTGAGAGCAAGAGAAGATACTAAGTACCACTATGTTCGCTAGGTCTAACATCTTCAGGTACCAAGTTCAAAACAATAATAGTTTTAAACAAATCCTAGTAGGGGGAAAGCATCCGGCTGTTCTATTCTAACTTGCATGTCTACCCTAGCGCTAACAGAACTTTCTGGGCTGGCTGATGCTCTACAGAAAGGCTCTCTAGATCTGCGATCTGCGCTGTCCAACAGAGTACACACAAGTCACCTGGGGTGACTGACACTTGGCACACAACTAAAGAGACAGAGAGCCCTGCCTCTTCGCGTTAACCAATTCAGATACTCTCGCGTGGTTAATGTATTCATCACACTGCAGTTTTAGACGGGAAAACCCGGCTTCCAGGACAGCTCCAGCGTGGACGTTGCTCTGCAGCTGTGAACCCTGCAACAAACACCAAGTACGCACACCACACCGTGCTGCATTCAAATGGGCCTCAGCATCCCTAGCAGGGTTCGCCATTCAATTTCTTTCACTCCGTGTTTGAGTGTTACGGGAGAGGTCACACTTCAGTAACGGATCAACGGCTGTATTTTAGTGAGACGGCGTTTTGCAAACAGTGCCCCGTGCCCAGCACGCAAACCGTCGTCCCAGACAAGGCTGGAGCTGTGCGACCATGTCCCACTCCCTGCAACGCCTCTCCTTTCCCCACCCCAGCGGCCCTGGGACCGACAGACAACCGCGGCCTCCAAGGTCCCTTCCCCCGTCACCCGCCTCCCGTGTGACAATCCGCGTGGGCGTGTCGGGGAGGCCCGGCCCGAGTTACCTGCACATCCCCCGGGAAGTAGACGACGTGGTGCCGCGGCTCCGGGGCGGCCCCGTCCCCGGCCGCCAGCAGCAGCAGCTCGTTGCAGCGCTGCGGATCGGAGCCCGGCACGGTGGAGCGCAGCA